GTTTGTATAATATTGATTGGTATGTTTTTTTTATACAGTAGGTGTAAGACGTCTTCGACTTGGATGCGATCGAAAGCCTTTGTCAGGTCTATAAAACATAGAAATGCTGGTTTATTGTACTGGATGCCTTTTCTGTGATTTGTCTTAGTACAAATACGGCGTCTACGCAGATCTTCGGATCTGAATCCTTGTTGTTCATCTGATAAAGTTGTTAGTTTATTGATTTTATTGGTTAGGACTTTTGTGGTAAGCTTAAGTGCGGTGTTCAGTAGATTTATACCTCTATAATTGTTGGGGTCTTCTTTATCTCCTTTCTTGAACATTGGTATCATTATGCTGTTTCTCCATGCGTCTGGTATCTTGCAGTGCAATATTAGTTTTTGTATAAGTTTTGTCATCTCTAGGGTTATACTTTCTCCTCCGTATTTTAGAAGCTCGTTGGTTATTCCGTCTGGTCCTGGTGACTTTCTATTTTTGAGCGAATTTATGGCTATTTCTACTTCCTGAAAACTGATTTCTATTTCGTGTCTTAATTCAGGTACGTTATTGTGTTGATTATTATTTTCCTTTGCTTTAAACAGTTCCGTCAGGTATCTTTCCCATTCGTTTGCTGATATGTTATTGTATTCCTTCAATTCTGCCATTTCTTTCCGTTGGTTTCTTATAAATCTCCATATTTGTTTTTGTGTACCGTAGAAGTCGCTTTCCATCCTTTTTGTAAACTGTTCCCAGTGTTCATTTTTTGTTCTTCTTACCAACTGCTTTGTTTCATTTCGTATTCTTCTATAGTTGTCTCGGATTCTGGGTATTTGATGTTTTGTACTTCGTGTAGGCCTCTCGTTTCTCTTTACATTTCTCTTTTATTTCTTTTCTGAACCATGGTGTATTGTTGTTGTTTCTTTTGTTCAGTATGACTTTGCGTTTTCCTAGAGCTTCTGTTGCTGCTTCTTCAATGTTGTTTTTAATTTTCTCCCAGCTCGCGTTTATATCTTCGATGTCGTCTATTTGTTTCAGCTGTATCTTCTGTGCTAGCCTCCTTTGGTACATTTCTCTTGTAGAGTCGTTCCACAGTGATTCTACATTGAATTTTTCCTCGGTGATTTCCTGTAGAAAATTTTGTTTTGGTGTTATTTTCATTCTTATCTTTGCTAGTACTAGTTTGTGTTCACTCCCTGCGTCTGCTGAGTTTAAAGTTCGGATATCTAGAATTTGCTTTGGGTGGATTTTTCTATTAGTGACTATAAAATCAATCATAGATTTATGCCCCTGGAGTTTTCAAATGTATATTTATACTGGAGCTTATGGTCGAAAAATGTATTATTGATTCTGAGTTCGTTAAAAGCACAGAGATTAGCCATGAGTTCTCCATTTGCGTTGACATGGTTTTCATTAAATCTTTGTTTTACTCCTGGAACTATTTCATTTCCGATTCGTGCATTAAAGTCACCCATAAGAATTAAGGGCTCTTCATGAGGTATTTCATCCAGGATGGTTTGCAATTGTTCGTAGAATACCTCTCGTTCCTCCTTAGGTTTGCAGTCCTTGGGGCTATAGATAAATATGACATTTAATTTTTGGTAGTCCATTGTGATGTTCATATGTATTATTCTTTCGAAAATATAACGGCATTTATTTATGTTGTCTTTAAATTTTTTATGGACAACTATACCTACGCCTGCTTGTGATCGTTTTTCTTTCTTCACTCCACTGTATGCTAGGAAATATTGATTGATTCTCTTTGGCCTTTACCTTTCTTCTTGGTTTATTGGATTGCACAAATGTCTATGTTTGTTTTATCAGTTCTTCTATTATCTATTAGTCTTTGTTGTTGAAAGAAGTAATGTTCCATGTTGGTAATCTGATTGTGGGCTTATTTTTCCTTCTCTTTTTTCTTTTCTTTGCGTGGTTCGTCATCTTAGGTTTCGTCTGGTTCCGAGGCTTTATATCGGTTTTTTGAGCCTGCTTTCCTTTTACAATGGGTAGGATGCTAATCTGGCCCATCAACACTCCTCATTTATCCGGGCTTGGGATCGGCTCTAGGCATGAACGGGACTTCTGAGCTACTCAGTCCACCCAGTCATCGCGCTCATAACCCCTAGGCAGAGTTCATTAATCAAAGTTTTTAACTAAATATTTCTCAAACTTAGTAGTTACAAAAGTAGTAACTACAGTAGTATTAACTATAGTAGTATATACAAAATACTTCGTACTTAAAATTTTATATTGATATTATCACTAAAGTATTAAGATGTTAGAGCTCATATTCCCTTGTTTAATATTTGATTGGGTTTTTCCATGTCAAAAATTACAAGATATTTCTTTCTTCAAGAAAAAAATATTGGTAATTAGTATTCTACCTGAAATTGTATGATACACCATAGGGGTGGTTTCCATTCCAATTCATTCCAACATTCCAATAACCGCCGAGATTTTCCGGAAATTTGCGAACAAATTCGACCGTACACAGAATAGGTCCGCCGGAGCTAGCCCGCTCAACCACGTCAGTGCTATTTGGTACGTCTGCTGTGGCGTATGAGAGTTATATACTAGTGCTTATTGTCTTTTACTGACTCTGAATAGTGTGTTTTGTGAATAATCGACCTTACTTATTTTGTGACAATTACGTAAAAAAGTATTTTATCATAATTTGGCGACACTTTTGAGAAAATGAGTAATCGTATTTACAAACTTGATAATCCGGCAGACGTAGAAGAGCTTAATCGTCTTGTTTTCGAAGAAGGTGAATGTGACACAAATACTTTACCCCAAGAAGATTTTGAGAATCAGATGAATCGTCAACAGAGGATTATCTGGAGACAAATTCGATGGATTCTGATACCGATCATGAAATCGTCGACGTAGATACAGAAGATATGGTGCGCGCCGAAAGCGAAAACTTTTATAATGGTAAGTCAGGTTATAAGATGTGTCAGTTTCGATGAAAAAACCACACGGCCTCAAAGACAAGCAACAGATAAATTAGCTTCAGTGAGAGATATTTTTAACTATTTTTTGGAAAATTGCAAGACATATTATAGCCTAGGACAAAACACAACAATTGATGAAATGCTGCCACAGGATTCCGAGGACGTTGCGGATTTAGACAGTACATACCATCCAAACCGAGCAAGTAAGGAATCAAGATATTCTCTTTGTGTGATGCGAAACTTTTATATTTTTTATTTTTATACTTACAATATGAAAATTTATTGCGGGCAACAACTGGAAGGACCTTACAGGCAGAGTAATTCTGCAGATGCAATTGTATGCAGGTTGGCAGAACCAATTTTCGGCACAGGCAGGAATATTACTGCCGATAATTGGTTTACGAGTTTGAACCTTGTAAAAGAACTGGAAAAAACAAATATTGTCCTTCGTAGGAACCGTGAGAAAAATCGACGAGAAATTCCGGCAGATTTTGCATTGCCCAAAAATCGCAATGAATATGATAGCTTATTTGGTTATACTAAACACGAGACACTTGTATCATATGTACCAAAAAAAACAAGACAGTTTTGGTATAGTAGACAGGCGGTATAGTAGACTATAGTTCCGTGATGCTAGCCTCAGTATTTTACTATGAAGAAAAAAGTAATACAATGCCAGCATAGAAGCTTTGCTTCAAAAATATTTGATAATTCCAAACCCGCGACATTTAAAAATTCCTGGTATTTTTTGAACATACCTCGTATATTTGTTCTCTCTCTCTGTATATATATATATACATATATATATATATATATATATATATATATATATATATTATATATATATATATACATATCTTCTTCTTTAAGTTCCATCTTCTATCGAAGGTTGGAAATCATCATGGCTATGCGGACTCTGTTGACTGCCGCTCTAAAAAGTTCTGCACTACTGCATTCAAACCATTCCCTTAAGTTCTTAAGCCAGGATATTCTTCGTCTTCCCACATTTCGCTTTCCTCGGATTTTGCCCTGCATAATAAGTTGTAATAATGCGTATTTTTGCCCTCTCATCACATGTCCCAAGTACTCAAGTTTTCGTCTTTTAATAGTTAATATTATTTCCGCCTCATTTCCTATCCTTCTAGTTACTTCCATGTTTGACATTCTTTGAATCCATGATATTCGTAGGATTCTTCTGTAACACCAAAATTCAAAGGCGGCCATCTTATTCAGATGAACTTGTTTTAGTGTCCAAGCTTCCAAACCATAAAGAAGAGTAGAGAACACGTAACATCGAAGCATTCTCAGGCGTAGTTCTAACCTTATATCCCGACAACAAAGAAACTTTTTAAGTTTAATAAATGATGTACGTGCTATTTCAATACGTGTCTTAATTTCTTTGGTTTGGTCTACATCTGATGTTATCCATGTTCCTAAGTATTTATAGTTATTAACACTCTCAATTGCAGTATCTTCAATAGTCAATTGGGTATTTGCATGTGCAGATTTAGTCATGATCATGCATTCTCATATATATATATATATATATATATATATATATATATATATATATATATATATATATATATATATATGTATATATATATATATATATATATATATATATATATATATATATATATATATTCATCTAGGTTAAGCTCAATTTTTAAAAGTTTTAATAACCCATACATTATTTGGTTTTTAAAATACCACTATGTTAGTATGCCATTTCGCTTAAGAGGGTTACCACTATTTCCACACACATCACTTTAAAAATTAAATAAGAATAATAGTGCAATAACCCCTTTTGAACATCAAAACAAATCTTTTATTCTGTATTGTACAATCTTAAGTTTTTTACACTAAAAGTAATTGAAAATCTAAAATAAGATTAATAAAATTAAATGAACCATTTTCATTAATTCCTTTAAATATGAATTACTAGTATATTGCAAGGTTTTCAATTATCCTATAATTTAATTTTTCCATACAATGAAAAAATCTTTGACATAAGATAAATTTTTCCCTCGGAAACATCGATACAGTATAAAAAAGTAATGCCAAACTTACATGTCGAGAACAAGTGATCCCACCAATCCGTCCTACAGAGATAGGCCTTCAGATCATCGGCGGTCCTTCCTACGATGACGACAGGGGGCGCAACCAGGGTGCGAATTATCAGGAAAGCGGTAAAAATTGTCAGTATTACGCCCAGCCTCTTCAGCAGATTCGTATCCGTGATCTTAACAGCCTTAGCTGAACGAACTCGGAATATAACGGATATTCTGCAAAAGAAAAAAATTCTTTGATCTCTAATTTAATTCCAAAATGCGTACAATGAGTGAAACAAGATAACGCAATTTCAGTTCTTATAGCTACATAGGGTTCTGTTGTATTTCGTGTTTTAGAGGGTATTTTTGAATTTTTAATTTAATAAACCCATGTCAAATTAGAAAATAATTACCTAAATAGCCGTTTTTAAACAATATTTATGAACAAAAACTTTAAACGATTACTTGATGTAAAGTTAATAAATGATAAATTGGTTTTTGTTAAACTGTTTATTTATAATCCACACATTAAGAATAATAAGTAGGTGTAGGTGAATAATGTGTATGTGAAGCTTCGGTGAAAGGTTATGTTATTATCGCTCCTTTTGAAGTTTACTTTTGTACTATAGGCCAGTAAAGAAAAAAAAGCTAAAAAAATCTTATACGGGTTCTTGAAGATTTTAAAAGAGAGATAACTGATATTAAATTCTTAAAAACGCGTGCTTTTTGTTTTGTTAACAATATTAAAAATAGTGAAAGAATTCAATTTTGCCTTATACACTCACCGAAACTTGCATTTTTAAAATAAAAACTTAAAATTTTCACTCTCTTTAAACTTTTATTATTATCATAACGTAATGTTACGATTTTAAATGTTATGGCATATAGAACTATATAAACTTCACAGTGGTGCAGAAGTGGGATTGTAGATAAATTTAATTTGATTTTTGAAAAAGACTTTTGAACTTTTGAAAGGTATTGTTCGTCGGGAACATCCGCGTAGTCCAGTAGTGATCGTTGTACGAAAGAACATTTAAAAAGTACGTGTGTGCCTGACCAAAGATGCTGTTAGTAGAACTTTCAGTGAAACAGTTGCGTGAGCAACTAGAAGAACGCGATGAAGACTGCAGCGGGTCCAAGAAGATCCTCCAAGAACGACTGAAGACTGTTCTCAACAAGAATGGAGACGACCCAGAGACATTCCAGTTCCAGTCAGCAGAAGAAGCCGTTTTAACGAAAATAATTGATGGAAAATTCGAGACTGTTTCCAAAAGATTCGATGAAACGTCACAAATGATTGAAGAATCTTCGAAACAAAATGATAGTAAATTTGAGAACGTCTCGCAAATGATTGAGAAGACCTCTAAAAAAAATGATGATAAATTCGAGAACGTTTCCAAAAGATTGGATGAAACGTCTCAAATTATTAAAGAAGTAGGTAGACAAAACGACGAGAAAACTCGAAAATGTGTCTAGAAGATTCGACGAGAAATTTGAAAATGTTTCTCAAATGATGGAAGAAACTTCTAAAAAAGAATAATGAGAAATTTGAAGAAGTCTCTAAAACATTTGATAAAGTTGAAGAGAAAATCAAACAGTTAGAGACCATGATAACTAACACAAGAGTGCTACCACCAATTAATACGGTAGCTTTAGATCCGGTAGAGATAAAAGAAGACGAGACAAAATGTAAGTTGGAAACACGGCCGAAATTTGAAGGAAGTGGAAGTTCCGTTCATGTCAAAGTCCCAACTTTCGACGGAAAATCATCATGGAACAACTACATGAAACAGTTCGAATCAGCTGCAAGAGCGAATGGATGGTCTGAAAAAGAAAAGGCTGTAAACCTGACTATCGCTCTTCGAGGAGATGCCTTAGATGTGCTCCAGACCATAGCCGTAGAGGAGACGGATGATTTCGAACAACTGAAGAAGAGGTTAAATATGCGATATGGCCACGAACACTTGGAGCATGTTTATCAGTCGCAGCTCAAAAATCGAAGACAAAAGAAAGATGAGGCTCTTCAAGAATATGAAGTAGATATCGCCAGATTAGTGCGATATGCTTATCCAACAGCTCCCGAAGACATGATGGAAAAGTTGGCCGTTCAAACGTTTATTGATGGTCTTCGTGATCATGAGATGCAAAGAACACTACGATTAGCTCGTCACAAGGCGCTGGTTGATGTCTTATCCGCCGCCCTCGAATACGAGTCAGCTACGCAGGCCTCTGGCGGTTACAGTAAAGTTAGGACTGTACAAGAGGAAGAAGATGAAGATAAAACTGAACCAGCTCGTTAATATGATAAAAAGCATGACACACAAGAAAACGAAGACCATAAGACCAAAGACAAAACCAGAACGCGTCGGCCTTAGGGGAGCAGCTTCGACCCAGAACTTTACCAAAGACCCTCTGATACTAATAGCTTCTTTGAAATGTCGTGAAGATAGTGTATATGTAGATGGAGAAATAAATGGTAAAAAGCATACGTTGTTGGTGGATACTGGAGCGACCAGAACCATTATACGCCCGACAGTTATAAACAGCCGAAAGAAACTGTTACCAACGAGGTTGCGACTTCGGACCGCCACAGGTGAAAATGCCAACATTCATGGAGAAATCCAGGTACAATTAGGAATTGGAGCAGAAAAGTTCGTCCATACTGTTATAGTTGCTGACGTCGAAGAGGATGTTATATTAGGAATGGACGTAATGAATACGCATGGATTCCAATTGGATTTTAAGAATAAGGTAATCAAAGTTGGTAACGAGGAGGTATTTCTCCATCCACATGATGACAACACTATGCAAGCAGCCGTTAAAGAAGATACAGTCGTGCCTGCGAGAAGTGAAACGATAATAGTAGCGCGGCTACAGGGAATTGTGGACGAAGGAACACCTGTTATGATGGAGCCTTGGAATCATGACGACGAAGTTGGCCGTGGAATCATAATTGGAAAAGAATTAGTGACTTCGGCTAAAGAAATTCCTGTGAGACTTATTAATGTCAATGACTACCAGTGACCATCAAGAAAGAGACAAAAGTAGGAACTTGTGTACCTGTCACATCCATAATCCGTCAGACGACAACGTCTGATAATTCCAACGATAAATTTGATCAAATGGTTGCGGTTGCTGGACAGTCTCTGAATCAGATTGAGAAAAGGAAATTAAGGGAATTTCTTCGGCAGTATCGTGATATTTTCGTACCGAAAGGAGGAAAGACGGGAAGAACTACCGTTGTTAAGCATAAAATTGATACTGGTAATGCTAAGCCAATTCGTCAAACAGCTCGACGATTACCACAGGCGAAAAGAGAGGAAGCTGAAACGATTGTTCAGGAAATGAAGAAAGACGGGGTGATAGAACCATTCTACGAGCCCATGGGTCTCTCCGGTGGTCCTGGTTAAGAAGAAAGACGGAACAACGAGGTTCTGTGTGGATTACCGTTTGCTGAACAACGTTACCAAGAAAGATAGTTATCCTCTGCCTCGGATCGATGACACATTAGACACATTGGCTGGAAGTAAATTATTTTCTACTCTGGACTTGAAGTCTGGATACTGGCAGGTAGAAATGGACCCGGTAGATAAAGAAAAGACAGCCTTCACCACAGGATCTGGATTATGGCAATTCAACGTTATGCCATTTGGACTTTGTAACGCTCCTGCGACATTTGAGAGGCTTATGGAAAATGTGTTGAGAGGGTTATCTTGGAAAACATGCCTAGTTTATCTAGACGACATAATCGTCTTGGGGGAGACATTTGAGGACCATCTGAAGAATTTAGAAAACGTTTTTAATCGACTTAAAGCTGCCCAATTGATGTTAAACCCCAAGAAGTGCCAGCTATTTCAAGGTAAAGTCAATTATCTGGGTCATATAGTCAGTAAAGAAGGAGTGGCCGTGGATAAGGGAAAAATCGATTCCATTAAGGAATGGCCAAAACCAACTGACAAACATCAAGTGAGAAGTTTTCTTGGACTATGTACTTATTACCGGAGGTTTATTAAGAAGTTTGCAGATATCGCTAAACCATTAACGCGACTTACAGAGGAAGCAAGAGAATACCGCTGGGATGTAGACTGCCAAAATGCCTTTGAGACCTTAAAAAAGCATTTAATCACAGCACCGATTTTAGGGTATCCACTGCCAGAAGGAGAGTTCATCTTAGATACAGATGCAAGTAATGTGGGAATTGGAGGAGTGCTGTCTCAGATTCAGGAGGACAGGAAAGAGTCCTTGGATATTTCAGTAAAGTTCTCTCAAAACCTGAGCGGAATTATTGCGTCACGAGAAGAGAACTTCTGGCAGTAGTGAAATCAGTAGAGCACTTCTATCAATACCTCTATGGAAGGAAGTTTTTAATCCGAACCGACCATGCCGCCCTTAAGTGGTTGATGCAGTTTAAGAATCCAGAGGGTCAGATAGCCAGGTGGATCGAACGACTCCAAGAATATGATTTTAAGATTGGGCACCGGGCTGGAGTTAGCCACCGAAAACGCTGATTCTCTTTCCAGAAGGCCATGCCCAGCAGAGTGTTCTCACTGCAACAGACGGAATCCAAGGAAGCAGCAGTGCTAAGAACGACGGTGGTCCACGACGACTGGACGCCTACCAAGATCAGGGAAGAACAAGAGAGAGATCCAGTTATACAGAAAATCCGAGAATGGAAAGAAGAAAACCGTCGACCACCTTGGCAAGAAATATCGAACCTAGGCTCAATAGTTAAGACGTATTGGGCCCAGTGGGACTCATTTATCATGGAAGATGGCTTGCTCAAACGAGTCCTGGAAAATGATGACGGTTCAGAGAAGAGAAGACAGTTGGTGATTCCAAAGAGCAGAATAGCCGAAGTACTTCGTCAGTTACACGACAGTCCATCAGGAGGGCATTTTGGTGTGAAGAAGACCCTTCAGCGAATTCGGGAACGGTTTTATTGGATGAACAGTTCCGACGATGTAAAAGACTGGTGTAAGAAATGTACTATTTGTGCTACGAGTAACGGGCCTTATCGAAAAAGGAGAGCTCCTATGAGACAATATAATGTTGGAAGCCCGTTTGAAAGAATAGCTTTGGACATTGCTGGGCCATTTCCAGAAAGTGATAATGGAGGCAAGTACATGTTGGTAGTAATGGATTACTTCACTAAGTGGGTCGAGATTTACGCACTTCCAGACCAGAATGCCGCCACCGTTGCAGATAAGTTAATCCAAGAATATATCAGCCGATTT